TGCGTGGTATGGGCATTATTGGAAAAGTAAAGGAGTTAATAGAGAGGATCTTGATGGGGTGTGTGCTGTAGAGCCCGTAGCTCTGGGGAGTAAGGACAGGGAAGCTTTGGGTGGGGAGATTGAAGAGGGGGAGATATGGAGAGCGCTTGTAGACATGTGCAGAGGCAAAGCACCAGGTATTGATGGACTACCAAGTGAATTTTACTTAAAACATTGGGATCTGTTAAGGGATTTTTTAGTAACGCTGTTCAACAGAATGAAAGAGGGGGGGGAATTGGGCGAGAAGCAAAGTACAGGGGTCGTAGTGCTTGTGCCCAAGGGTAAGGGGCAGAGTACACTTAAGGATTACAGGGCGATTACTCTCATGTGTGCGGACTATAAATTGTTCGCGAAGATTTTGGGGAATAGGTTAAAATGTGTAGGTGGGACGTGTAGTTTCAAAAGGTCAACTAGGGTTGCCAGGACGGTCGATGGTCATGGGGCACGGAATTCTAAAGGGGTTTGTTGAGAGTTTTGAGGGGACGCAGGAAGAGGGGGTATGGTGGCGATTGATTGGCAGGGTGCTTATGATCAGGTGGAAAGGAGGGTTTAAGACAGATCCTTAACAAACAAGGTTTTGGGGATGAGATTGTGGGGTGGGTTGAAACGTTGTATAAAGGGGCAAAAGCGAGAATTCAGATCAATGGACGTGTGGGAGGTGTGGTGAACATGGATAGGGGCTTGAGGCAGGGTTGCCGCTATCACAGTTATTATTCGCATGTGTGCAAGATCCATTTTATAGGTTGGTTGAGACCAGAGTGTGTGGTGGGGAGGAGTCGAGGAAGGGCTTGATTAGGCATCATGTGGTAGGTTACGTGGATGACACGACACTCCTAGTCCGGAAGGGAACAAGATTGGGAGAGTTGGGAGGGGTGGTTGGCATGTTTGGAGGGGCGACAGGCATGACGGTAAACGTTGAGAAAACAAAGATCATGGGGCTAGGGGAGTGGAGAGACAGAGTTGATTGGGACTGTGATGTGGTGAGAAGGCAGGAAGGTCAGTTATTAATATGTGGCATTTCGTATAGAGCGACCATACGGGAGGCTAGGGAGGCGAATTCGTTGAGAATGGTGGAACGCGTGGAACATCGGTTGGGGATGTTGCGGTCTTATCACTTGACATTGTTGCAACGGGCGATTGTTATTAACGTATTGCTGTACAGTAAGGTATGGTATGTAGCAGCAGTTTTTCCATTGCTGAGAGCTGACATTACTCGTATCCTTAGAAGTGTTTTTAGGTTCTTATGGGGCTCAGGATGTGAATGGATGAAGAGGGAGGTGGTGACTTTGCCGGTGAGGAAGGGAGGTTTAGGTCTGTTGGACCTGGGAAGGAGGGTGAAATGCATTTTTGTCAGGTGGGAGTGGAAAAGATTAGGGGGACAGAGGGGGACATGCATGCAAAGGTTACATGATATTTTGAGGGGAATGTATGTGGGTGGGGAATGGAGGGAGTGTGAGATTTTGTTGAGGGCACTTTTGTGGGCGCGCGAGCCAGACAAATTAAAGGTGAGGGATTTATATCGAATATTGAGGGTAGAGGAGACGGCCCCAGTTGAGGGGCTGTTCCCGATGTATGCATGGGGAGCTATATGGAGTCTGTTCGGTAAACTAAAGTTAGGGCCCAGGGTGCGAGAGATCATGTTTAAATTTTTACATGGGATTCTGCCTACTGGATCAGTCCTCAGAAACAGACGTGTGGTAGAGGAGGGTTGGTGTGGGTTATGTGGGGAGTTGGAAACAGCCTATCACGTGGTATACTTTTGCGATTTTTTGGGGAGTGTGAGGGAATGGCTGGGGAAAGTGGTCAGGAGGATAGGAGGAACTGGGGTGTCAGTGTTGAGAGCGCTGAGTCTTGATATAGGGGGGGTGGGGGAGAATGTGGCACGGGGAGTAGCTTATATCATGGTGGATTTCGTGTACATATCGTGGGGAATGAGAGGGGTGGATAATGGGGAGACGAGGAAAAGAGTTTTAGCGAGGATTTTTTGTAGGACAATGAATAGGAATCGGGGAATTTATGGGAGGAGATGGGAGGGAGCTTTCACTGAGGGTTACAGGTCCATAACTGTTGGGGAGTTGCTAGAGTTGTGAGGGGGGGGGGAAGTGGGTTTAGATTGTTGTGTAAAGCATTAGATAAAAAAACGGGGGGGTACCAAACGGGCTTGCCAAACGAAAGATGTTGGTTTGGTGTGCATGTGCGTAAGGGAGTGATAAGTGCAAGAGAGAACGATTGTGTGTAATTGGGGTGTGCATGGGAGTGCTGAGTTCATGCATTCTTAGTAGTTATTTAATATTGTCAATTAATGCATTCTGCTGAAGGCTATCGTAGTAGCGTATAGAGTACAAGTCTGAGAATGCTGCATGGACAGCAATAAAGTTAGGATTTGACTCCCATTGTAAACTAAGTCAGTTTCTAATGTATATATATACATATGTATATATAAATAATATTAGGACAGCAGCTGGCGTTTTCACTACTGTAGAGTTGTTATTGTTTTCAATTTAATATGTTCTTAAGTTTAATTTAGTATGCTTAGTTTATAAGTTACATAAACAACGGTGAAATGCTGTACATTTTGGTGAGCTGGGGTAAATAGGGGGGGGGGGTTATACTGCTTGCATTTTTGCGGTATGTAATTATTGTGTGTGGATATTGAAATTAGCAGTCGGGAAGGAGTCAGAGGATTCTTTATTTTGTATTACTTGAATAGTTATATTTTGTAGTAAAGAATTATGTATATGGCAGTATTCACCTATCAGCTGCATGACATATTACTGCATATTGCAGTGTATAGAAATTGATGAATTTATATTGTCTGTCGATGCTCTCATACTGTATGCTTTTGTTCATGTATTGTATGTTATAAATAAAATATAAAAAAAAAAAAAAATGTAAATTATGTGATCAGGCATATGGTCACTGTCTTGAACACTATGTGCTTAATTGTCCACTTATTGAGGAATACAGAGATAGACAATGTAATAAGCTATGTGACATGTCAAGATATCTTATTAATGAAAACAAGATACCAGATATACTAAGAAAATTTCCTAAATTTGCTTGTAACAGATAATTGAACTATAGATATATATATATAAATCCATATGTATTCCTGTAAACCCTTTGGGGCCTAGTTCCTAGGCTTTTTGTGTATCCATATGCTCTTGTGCTACTGTCCACTGGGTGGATCTGGGGTGCACAATAAACTAGCCACTTGTGGCAAAATCTAATCCCAGGTGCTGTATGAACCCTACGGGCTATGGGTTAAGTACTTCCCACTCTAATAAACAAATAAAACAAATAATGAATAACAATTGCTCCAGTTTTTAGCTTAATATCTTTATTATGCACCCCATACCCATCCTATGGGCGGTAGTCAAAAGTTTAGAGGTACAAAATGGGTCCAAAGACTGGGGCTCTAAGCTTTGATAGCTGAACAAGTTACAAAGGTAATGAACTCAAGGTAGATCTGGTCACACTCATGACAGGTTATAAAGGTAATGAACCATCTACATGTCTGTATATGGTTACAGTCATGAACAAATTACAAAGTAATGAGCCATTCACGCTTCAGTATCCTTTTTTTTTTATTTCCTCCGCGTTTGATTTTATGAGTGAAAGGCTCAGCCGGTCACCAACCCAAGAATGATGTGGCTGTCAATTCAAAGTTTATTCTCTATAAGGATTACAATGCTGAGTTTACAGAATTTGGTTATTGTGTGGTTTACATGTAGTAAAATAATAATTACAGAGTGTACCACTAGAACACCTAGCATGGCTAGGCATTTCGGGCAGACTTAAATTAAATCTTAAGTTTAAAATATTACAAAATTATGTGGTAAGCTGGTATTATGGCTAAGTGACTAAATACTAGTTTGTGAGTTTAGCAATGTGAATGCTTTTGTTTTGGCACTATACATAGTTTCAGTAATGGAGTATCACAGGCCAACTTATGACTAGTTAAGATTCATTATTTTGAGATTGAGATTGATATTTCTGTTTATGGTCAAATGGGTGAGTGAGTGCAAGTGTGAACAACCAGGTGGTATTCGTGTAATTAGTTGACAGGGTGTATCAGGGAGATAAGATGTTTTCTGATGGTAGTTTTGAAGGTGATGAATGTGTCTGCAGTTTTAGAATTTTCAGGTAGGGTGTTCCAGATTTTAGGGCCTTTGACATACATTGAATTTTTGTAAAGGTTTAATCGGACACGGGGAATGTCATAGAGATGTTTGTGTCTAGTGTTGTGCCAGTGGGTTCTGTCGCAACTATCAAGAAAGCGTTTTAGGTCAAGGTTAATATTGGAATTTAAGGTCCTGTAGATGTAGATTGCACAGTAGTAAGTGTGGATGTACTGAACAGGGAGTAAGTTTTGATCTATGAAGAGTGGGGGGGGGTGTTGCCAGGGATGGGATTTAGTGATTATTCTTACTGCGGCTTTTTGTTAGGTTATTATTGGCTTTAGGTGTGTTGCTGCAGTTGAACCCCAAGCACAGATAGCATAGGTGAGGTATTATCCTGGTATTAAGGGACGAGGTCCACCTTTTCTGTTTGAGAAGGTTCAAGCTTTTTTTATTATTAATTTTCGCCAAGATATGGATAATATTTTAAGCAACGTAACTCTCCGGAGATGAAGACATAAGGACAATGTTCATTCTCATATTTAGGTACTTACTGTTACCACTTTATTTCTACTATTCATTAATGGTTATAATTATAAATTTATTTAAATTCCGTATTAAACTGTTAAAATCGTATATAAATTTTTTAATAAAAGTGTTATATACTGACTTTGAACCGACATTCAAATAGCCTAAACTTCAAATAGCTTTGTTTTCTTCTGGCCGACATTCTTTGCACTACGAGGGACTTACTGCTAGTTTTATAAAATATATCACTTAATTTTGTAAAAGTTAAAGGCTGTGTTTTCCGTACACACACAAAATAGTATTTCTTATGTTAATGTTGTATGAGCGGTGAGTGTCCTTAACGTGGAGGAGCGGGAGTGACTGGTGTGTGTGGAGGACGATGCTAGTGCTCTTGTCATGGATTATGAATGGAAAGAAAAGCGCAATAACGAGAGGGCCAAAGTGGAAGAATTATTCGGTTATGAAGGATGTAAAGTAGGCAGAGGGACGTACGGGCATGTGTATAAAGCCAAGAGGAAGGATAGGTGAGCAAAATGGTAGAGGAACAATTCTGTTATGGCGGTCCTGTGGCTGCTGTGACAATGTTTAACGTTCAATGATGTGTTACTCGCTGATTAACTTGAATGTTATACCACTTGTTGTATTGTGAATAGTGGCACTTTATTTGTAAGTACATTGGTGTACTGGAAATCTACTTAAAATTTCAGTTAGATTATGATCTGCTAGAGGCGCTACCGTGTCTAGTTGAGCTACGATAATAATAACAATAATAATAATAATAATAATTCGAACCGGGACCCTCACCGTGTGAAGCGAGAGCTTTTGCCACCAGGCCACGGGGCACCATATTAAAGTAAAATAAAAATATATATTAGTAAAATAAAAAAAAGGTATGTATACTTAAATGCAGAGGAAATGATTGTAAGTTATGATACCCTGAATTATCCCTACATTTATATTAATTGGCTATGCAATATATAAATATGCACTAAAACTGTTTTAGTGTTGAGTAAATCCATAGGTTAATATACCTGTATTAATCCAAATTTTTTTTTATGGCATCAGCAATTTCCTTTTTTTTTTTTTTTTTTTAAATTCTCTTTCTGTTTTTACCTTTTATTTACATGTACCTTGTAATGTTTTCTTTCATTTCTTAAAAAATTATCTTGAATCATATTGTGCTTTCCGGTAAGCTACAAGATGACCCTTTGAGGGAGAGATGACCCTTTAGAAGTGGTTGCCTGCATTCTGATCCACATAATTAAAGTTACTCCTTCATCGAATCAAATGCACTCCCATGAAGCTGTACAACTCGCATGGGTTTAGCAATATATAAAAATAGGGATGTGCTGATGTGTATAAAAGTCTGAATCTGCTCACTATTAAGAACATCCATACTTATTCATGTGCCTACTACATACACAGAACAATACACGCAAATATAAACCCCCTACTCAAACTTCTCCTCACCAACCTAAACAGGACACATAACCACAAAAGACACAGATCTCTTTTTGATATACCTCGTGTCCATATCACACTGTGTAAAAACTCTATGCACATAAAGGGCCCCAAAATATGGAATTCATTACCAGAAGATATTAAAGTAACCCAGTCTGAAAATCAATTTAAGACTCTTCTCAAAAGCCACTTAATCACCCTAGACTAAATGCTAAATACTCAGTACACAATTACTCACCTATGTACTCCCACATCATAACTGAAACAATCACTTTGAACCTTTTATCCTTTGTTGACAGGAATATAATTGAATCATTTTTCACAAAAAGTATTTTTGAATATAAATATATCTTTGTATTATACAAATTTTGATTCATTTATAATTAATATTCTACTGTACAACTATGAAATAATTACTATCCTACTGTACAACTATGATATACTCCTTAGTGTTAAGTAGACTGTAAGCCAATAATGTTAAGTTGGCCCATAATGCCAAGGCATAATAGAGGCTCTCTTTGCATTGCAACCCACTATATTGTAAATACAAAATCTCAATGTACTGTTTGCAAAGACATAAAATAAATAAATAAATTAAATTAAGAAATTTAGTTGGCCTTCATAGACACTGCTTTATGGAATTGGGTCTTAAGACCATATTTTTTACATAAATCTTAGTCTTGGTAATAAGATAGGTTTTGTTTCCTTTAATATTTGCCTCTCCCAGTATAATATATTGTCAAATGTCAGGGATTTCACTCTGATAAGGATGAGGAGGGGAAATGAGTCTTCATTATTTAGTGTGTAACTAGTTTATTTTGGATTGTCACGTTAATAAATTTAGAAATCTTAACCAAGCTTTCATATTTTTCTTCTGTAATATATAGTAGTAGAAATTCTCATTTTTAAAGTACATGTAATTAAATTTCACTGTATGAGTGTAAGTACCCTATATGAATCCATCTTGTATAATGTAAATTTCATCATAAGTACTGTATTAATTGCTCTGCAAGAATCAAGTGAACCTTAACTCATACTTTGCACTCATACTTTGCAGCGTGGATACAAAAGAATATGCTCTTAAACAAATAGAAGGAACTGGGCTGTCTATGTCAGCATGCAGAGAAATAGCAGTAAGTTAATTTTTTAAAATGTTTGATATTTTTTTAAAAGTTATGGTTACAAAGTATTATGAACTTTACACAAATAACTCGCACATAAAAGAGAGAAGCTTACGACGACGTTTCGGTCTGACTTGGACCATTGACACAGTCAATGGTCCAAGTCGGACCGAAACGTCGTCGTAAGCTTCTCTCTTTTATGTGCGGGTTATTTGTGTATCGTTCCAGTCACGGTATTGTGCCTTTTTTGTTATTTATTATGAACTTGTCTGGTATAGTGTATGAAAATAAACTGTGCTAGTAATAATGTGCTAGAGATGCTCCATTCAGAGTATACTTAGAGCTAACATTTTGCCTTGCATGACTTTATGAGTTAATAAAATTCAATAAGGTGGAGCTTCATTACAAATACAGTGGAACCTCTACTTGCAAGCGCATCCATGTGCGAGTTTTTCCAAATACGTACGAGCAGTTGATGGGTAAATTTTTCGCTTCCATACATGAGCAGAATTTCCATAAGCGAGCAGACCTCAAGGCAGGTGCCTTGACGCTGGTGAGGGGCTCTTGCTCTTGATCTAGGGAATTGTATCTCATTTGTTTGTTGGGCTATCTTATTGAAACTTGGGCAATGTATGATGGAATGATGCTTCTTAACGTAATAATAATATTAGTAATAATAATCATATGTATAATAATAATACGTATAATAATAATAGTATAATACTGTACTACAGTACAATAATAATAATAATAATATGTATAATGATAATACATATAATAATGTACTACATAATAATTATAATAATAGATGACTTCAAAAGGCCGTTACTAGATGGCAGTGTTTACCACAACAAAGAGGGAGCGGTTGTGGCCGCCTCCACCTGTTACATAATGACATATTTTATGCATTCTGGAGTATATATCAGGTTTCTACGTTATTTATATTGTTTATTATTTCATATTAATTGAACTGTGATAGATAAATAAGCCGTAAAGTTGATGATAGTGGAATATTCAAGGAGTATTTTGTCCTGTCTCCAGACAAACTCTTGTCGGCCGCCGCCGCTGCAATATATATGACATATTTTATTCATTCTAGAGTATTATATTGTTTGTTATGTCATATTAGATGAACTGTGATAGATAAATAAGCCATAGAGTTGATATTAGCGAAATTATTGAAGTACAGAATTCCACTGGAACGGATTAATTGCATTTCAATTAATTTAAATGAGGAAAATTGACTCTGCAGATGAGCAAATTCAGTTGTGAGCAAGGTCATGGAATGGATTAAACTCGCAAGTAGAGGTTCCACTGTAGTCTACTCCCTACTTGGTGTGTCACACAAGTTCGTGTTTGTTCCGTAGCATGTAAGTGTGTATAAGCATGTAAATAAATCATTATGTAGGGTAGAGAATTTGTTTGAGAGAAGTTTTGCTACTCTTTACTGCACAGGTTTTCTCAAGTCTTCAGAAATAAGCTCAGTGGTACAGTGTTCAGCATTCAACTGAAAAGACTAAGGTTTGATTCCCACAAAGACCCCAATGGAAATAAGTCACTCTGACTTTTTTTGGGTTATCCTAGGTAATTTACATGTTTGATAATTCTACTTACATGTACCTGTGTGTAAATAAACTTACCATGAGCGAGAGATATGGGCAGATTTCCTTTCACTTGCAGCCCATGTCTAGGCTGGAATATTGCTGCACACTAACATCATCTTTCAAGGCAGGTGAAATTGCTGTCCTAGAAAGTGTACAGAGAACCTTCATGGTGCACACACAACTGCAATATAACACCTCAGTTACTGGGAATGATTGAATTTCCTCAACCTGTACTCCCTAGAATACAGGCAGGAGAGATACATGATTATTTACACTTGGAAAATCCTAGAGGGATTAGTACCAAACTTGCACATGAAAATCACTTCTGATGAAAGCAGAAGACTTGGCAGATGATGCAATGTCCCCCAATGAAAAACATGGGTGCCACTAGCACGATCAGAGACAACACAGTAAGTGAGTGTTAAGGGCCCAAGACTTTTTAACTGCCTCCCAGCATACATAAGGGGATTACCAATAGACCCCTGGCTGTCTTCAAGAAAGCACTGGACAAGCACCTAAAGTCAGTACCTGGCCAGCTGGGCTGTGGTTCGTACATCGGGTTGTGTGTGGCAACAGTAACAGTCAGATTGATCAGGCCCTGATCCACCATGAGGCCTGGTCACAGATGGGGCCATGGGGGCATTGACCCCCGAAATCCTCTTCAGGTATACTCCAGGTATACCCAGGTTTGGGTGTTAGCAAACTAATATCTGTCACATCTTGGGGAAGACTCAGAAGGAATCCAATGGAAATAAGCCACACTGGACTTTATTGGTTTATGCCAGTTTAATAACCTGTAAAATGTCTTCATACTGAATGTACCCAGTAAAGTGTAGGGAAGCAAGGAGAGGGCAAGGGGCTACAAAATTTGTGGATTACTTACCTGTAGAGGCGATCATCTCTCAGGTACAAGAAATGGGTAGGTATATTGAGAGGTGCATATACACTAATGTATATATGCAGAGAGTTTACTTTAATCCCAGCTTTATGGATTAATGGGTAACTAGGCGAGTACAGATAAGAAGCACGTCTGTCTTTCACTTAGGAGACTGAGGTTCGAGCCTTCACCATGTCAAATTCAAATTCAAATTCAAATATTTAATTCCTTGTAAAGCTTACAATGTGTGGTTTACATGTTATAAGATTTTAATCACAAAAATGGCCAGTATCGTGCCTAGGCACTTCAGGCAGACTAATACTAATTCTTATGCTATATTAATATAGGTTATATTTGAACAGTACATTAGAACATTTTATTAGAAACGTAATTAGATACATTCCCAGTTAGGTACATACATAATTAGGTTTAAAATAATTAGGTAGTACAAATCATATAATAATATTACAAATGGTAGATTTAGTAATGGTGTGATACATTGTTTCTATTAAAGCCATACTGGAAGAGTATCTTAGACAAACTTAGGATTAACTAAGATTTAATGTGACTAACTTAAGATTTAATAGGCAGTAGCTATATTAGGAGTTTTATGGATACAGTCATACAGTCATTTGGGTGGGTGTAGGTGTAAAAAAAAAGAGAATTGGGAGGTTTTCATTTGGTTAGCTGATGATGGGGTGTGTTAGGGAGATGAGATGTTTTTTAACAGTAGTTTTGAAAATGGTGGTTGAGTCTTGTGCTGAATAGCCCACATGGGTTAAGTACTTAATAAGAATATGTATTTATATTATGGATTAAAGTATTTTTGGCTGGTGGTGTACAGGTGACATGCAGTATTAACCGTTTCAGGGTTGGTGCCGCACTAGTACAGCTTGCACGCTAGGGTTGATGCTGTACTAGTACGCATTAATTCTAGCGCCTTCAAATCTAGCAAGAGAAAGTGGTAGGCCCCATATGAAAAAATGGGCTATGTGGTCGTGTGCACAGTATAAGAAAAATCCTGCAGCCCAGTCATAATGAGAAAAAGAAACTCCAACCTTGTTTTGCTTTAAAACAGGGGACTTTGGGCAGTGTATTTCATATGCTATTATGGTTGTATTTTAGGTTTCCTGTTCATTTTATAGAATAAGACATATTACGAAATTGAGATGATTTTGATTGCTTTCACAATGAAAATCCCTTTGAAATTGAGCTCAATTAGCAGAATGTTCGTTTTTTGCCAAGTTCAGAAGTAAACAAATCATGCCATGCGTCAATACACTATTGGTGTGTCTAATATTCTTTCACAAGGGGTGCTGATATTATTTTACCATTTCTACACTAATGCATAGTTTGCATAACATAAATTTTCCCAAATTTTTTGTGAGAATAAAAATTCCAAAGTGGCAGCAAAAGAAATGTAAAGAGGCCTGGGATGTGACTTTTGACAGAAAAAAAATTTTTATTTTAGTGCCAGGAATATCTGTCTTGTTTATTCTGGACCCTATTTGAAATTTGGGGCATATTTTGAAATTGTGTGAAGTTGGCAAAATTGCCAATTTTGACCACTTTTGGGATAGTTAAATCGGTAAATGGGTAGTTTCTTGACTCATTTTGGTAGAAAAAAGGGAAAGTTCTAGCGAAATATTTTATGATTTTTGTCGATTTGGTACATTGGAATTGGCCGAAAAATAGGGTTCAAAAAGTGAGCAAAATACCGATTGTAAACATTGTCGAACTCCCTAACTTCGCGAGAGCATAATTCGTAAGTTTTCTATCAAATTTCATACTTTTGTGTCATTATGATCGGGAAAAGATTCTCTATCATTTCATAAGATTTTTTTTTTTTTTTTTTTTTTTTTTTTTTTTTTTTTTTTTTTTTTTTTTTTTTTTTTTTTTTTTTCGAAAAATTTCCAACCCTGAGAACAAGTTTAGGAGAGGGCCTGCCGATCCTGAAAGGGTTAATGACCCCTCTTATAGTAATTTGGCTTTAAATGTAATAAATCAACTAAATCAGGTCTGTACTGTACAGGAATTGATAATCTTGCTCAGAATGACTGAGTTTGAATGACTTGTTTCATCAAAATATCATTAACTTTTATCTGGTTCCTTAACTTGGATTGTCTTTTTTATCCTTAACATGAAAATATAACTCCCATTGTTTGTGTAAGCATAGCTAGTGCTATGAGTTCTCTAAACATATAATATATGTGGTCTTTACACTGCTGCTAAATGTGATATTAGTTTAATTTTCTGATGATTTGAGAAAACTTGTTTAGTAAAATGTCTGATAATCATAGTGGTTTGCTAAGGATGTCAAGGTCCATTTACCAGTATAAGTTTAAGATTTTATTTTCAGAGAAATAAGAGTCTAGCATACAGTAATTGTGCATGGAAAAGAAACACTACTGTAATTGTTTCCTAAATATTGTCATGTGGAGTAACCGTATTTTCTTCCAAAGCTGAATTCATTTTTGGAAGGTCTCGGTCATGAAACTGGGGAAAATTTTAAAGATGTAAAAAAAAAAAAAAAAAAAAAATAGAAGTGTTCTTCAAGTTCATTTGCAAAAAGATACTTTGTATCCATTCTTGTTTAACCCCTTTACTGTCGAAACCCAAATCCTGATGTGTTTTCTGGTGTTGAAAATTTTTTGAAAAAAAAAAAAAAAAAAAAAAAAATTCTTATGAAATGATAGAGAATCTTTTCCCGATGGTAATGACACCAAAAGAACGAAATTTGGTGGAAAACTTTTGGAATTATGCTCTCGTAAAGTTAGCGATCTTGGCGATATTTATGAATTGGTGATTTTGCCCACTTTGAGCCCTATTTTCGGCTAATTCCATTGTTCCAGTCAACCAAACTCAGCAATTTCTTTAGAACTCCATTTGTTCTATCGATTGAGTACAAGAAACTGCCCATTACCAATTTCAACTACCCAATAACATGGTCAGAAATTTGCAATTTGGCCAATTTCACGCAAATTAAAAAAATATGCCAATTTCAAAATAGGGTCCAGAATGAGCAATGCAGACATTCCTGACTGTAAAATAACATTTTCTTTGCCAATTTCAAAATAGGGTCCAGAATGAGCAATGCAGACATTCCTGACTGTAAAATAACATTTTCTTTGTTCATCAGTCATGTCTCCACGCCCCTCTGATATTACTCTTGCTTTCTACAGAGTGAAGGCTCAAAGAAACAGCTCAGCAGATTACAAGTGCAGTAAGAAATTCTATGAGTTCAATTGTAGCAGTACATTAAGAAATAGTGAATGTGTACGGCAAAATCAATAGCATATCCCCTTCTATTTTGAATTTTTATTCACACAAAAAATAGATGATTTGCTGTTATGGAGACTACTGTAATATTGTAATAATTGTGTAAATAATGTCAAACCATTCATGACTGTATATTATAATGGCTAGTTGGACATTTATTGGACAATGACATCATTTGTTTTCTTTTGAACATCGGCAAAAATCAGACATTTCCCCTACCTTGAGCTCCATTTCAAGGTTCTTTTCATAGTAAAACCAGTTAAAATCACCTCTATTTCTATAATATGTTTTCCATTCTATCAAATGAGACCAAGTAAGCAAGAATACGTACAACCATAAATTCTATACGAAAATACACCACAAAGTCGGCATTTTAATCCAAAAAAAACGGTCGGAGTTTTTTTCTCTTTATGCACTGCGTGCTGCAGGATTTTTTTTATATGGTGCACACTGACCACAGACCCATTCTCTCACATGTGGGCCTATCAGCTTTATCCTGCTTGACTTTAAGCCTCTAGAAATTATGAGTAAATATATGTCAAACACGGGCCCCGTAAGGCGTATTATAACAAACCGAAACAGTCAAAGGGGTTAAAATTCTGAGCTCTGTTTACAGTATATACAAAAATTTAGTACATTCTCTAACCCCTTTAAAACAATTTGCACTTTCATGGCTCTTTTTTGACAAAAGACTTCATCAGTTTGAAACCACATTATTATATAGCATGTTAATTTTGTGACTAGGTGTAGTTAGATCCTTGGTGAATCTTTGTAACCCCAGGTATCTGAAATACCATTTTCATGTCCACAGCAAACTGCAAGGAGAATCCATATGACCACTATGCTGTGGTCATGCATGCAACATTTATCATTAAAAAAAAAAGCATGCTCAAATACTCACAGGGGTGTAGAAAAGTTTAAAAACTCTGATGATTAGTTTAAACTTAAATATATTGAGTACCTATACTTATGGCAAGTTAGGCTCATTCCATTGGTTAAGTTTAAGTTTTTAACCCTTAAACTGTCCTAAACAGATCTATGTTTCACATGCATAGTGCTCCAAAAGTAGATCTGTTTTTTTTTTACATATTTTCGAACATAAAAAAAAAGTAGATCAAATTTTTTTTTTACTCTTTTCAAATGAAAAAAAAAACAAAAAGAAGATCTATTTTTTTTTAACATTCTTTAAAATGTTTTAAAAAAACATAGATCTACGTTTGGACATTTTTAAGGGTTAATAAAAACATTTAGATAAAGAAAATTTTTTAAAATGGTGCACTACTTTCCACAGCTGCTGCGAGAATTGAAGCATCCCAATGTAATCAACCTTCAACGTGTTTTCCTCTCACATGCTGACCGTAAAGTCTGGCTTTTATTTGACTATGCTGAGCATGACTTATGGGTAAGTTTACTTATTTTTGTCAGATTTCTTTTTATACTACATTGGCTGTTTCCCATCAAGGTATGGTAACATAAATGTAACATGTTTGCTATCATTATTCATTCAATATCCATCTTGGAAGAAATGTGTGAATATCAGTTTAACCCTCTGAGGGTCCAAGCCATAGATCTATGCCTTGTCCACAGGGTCCAAGAATTTAACCCTTTCAGGGTCCGTCCCGTAGATCTACGGCTTTACGTTCAGGGTCCAAACCGTAGATCTACGCCATGAGCTCAGCTCACTCTGATAAACTGTGAGTGCTACATTTGGGCCTAGATATGAGAGAATACATCTATGTGGTATGTGTGCACCACATAAAACAGATCCTGCAGCACACTGTGTATAATGAGAGAAAAAAAATTAAATCATGATTTTTCGATTAAAACAGCAACTTTGGGAGTGTTTTTTCGTATGTGTTTTTATGTTTATTTGCGATTTCTTGGTCTCATTTGATAGAATGGAAGACATATTACAGAAATAGAGATGATTTTGATTGGTTTTAGCACTGGAAATGGCTTGAAACTGAGCTCAAAGTAGCAGAAATGTTAAATTTTTGCCGATAATTCAAGAGTAAACAAACGACCTCAAAAACGTCTAATACACGTCAGCTGGGGGGGTCTAATAACATTCACAAAATATGGTGATGATATTTTTTACAATTATTACAGTATTTCATAACAGTAAATCTTCTATTTTTTGGTGTGAATAAAAAAATTTATTATATGAATAAAAAATCAAAATGGAATTTATTTGTAAAGCCTCAAAACGTAACTAATGAACAGAGGAAATGTTAGTTTAGTGCCAGGAATGCCTACATTGTTCATTCTGGACCCTATTTTGAAATTGGAATATTTTGAACTTTGTGTTAAATTGGCCAAATTAACAATTTCCGATCACTTTATTTTGTAGTTGAAACAGTTGACTTGGCGATTTCTTGTGCTCAATCGATAGAATAGAAGTAATACTAGTGAAATAGCTAAGAATTTGGTTGATTGGAATAATGTAATTGGCCTAAAATGGGAGTCAAAGTCGACAAAATCGCCGATTCGTAAATATCGCTGACACATCATAATTCGCTAGAGCATAATTTCGTCAATTTTCCACCAAATTTCGTACTTTTTGTTTTATTACCTTCACAAAAACATTCTCTACGATTTCATAAGAAAAAATAACAATTTTTCTTTTTGAAAATTCTTGGACACTGGTGCGTGACTCCAGATTTGGGCCTTGGACCCTGAAAGGGTTAAAAAAAAAAATTTTTATTTTTTCTTATAAAATGGTAGAGAATCTTTGAAGGTAATAAAACAAAAAGTACGAAATTTGATGGAAAGTTGACGAAATTACACTATCATGAATTTTACTGTGTCAGCAATATTTACGCATCGGCGATTTTGCCCTCTTTGACTCCTATTTTCAGTCAGTTACATTATTCCAGCCAGCCAAATTCATAGCTATTTCACTAGTATTACTTTTATTTTATCGAGTGAGCACAAGAAACTGCCCAATCAACTATTTCAACTACCCAGTAAAGTGATCAGAAATTGGCAATTTGTCCAGTTTCACACAAAGTTCAAAACATTTTAATTTCAAAACAGGGTCCAAAATAAACAATGCAGGCATTCCTGGCACTAAAATAACATTTCTTCTGCTTATTAGTTATGTTTCCAGGCTTTACAGATGAATTCCATTTTGATTTTTTATTTACATAAAGAATATTCACTCCAAGAAACAGAAGAATTACTCTTATGCAATATTGTAATAATTGTATAAACAATATCAGTGCATTTGTGAACGTATATTTGACCCACCAGTTGGCGTGTATTGGACACGTGGTGTGATTGTTTACTCTTGAACATCGGCAAAAATCAAACATTTACGCTACTTTGAGCTCAGTAAAAATCTTCTCTATTTCTGTAACATATCTTCCATTCTATCAAATGAGACCAAGAAACCACAAATACAACTGTAAAAAAATATACTAAACTACACCTCAAAGTTGGCTGTTTTAATCCAAAAACAGGATGGCAGTTTTTTTTCTCATAATGCACTGCGTGCTTCAGGATTTGCTTTATATGGTGCACACTTACCACATAGATCCATTCGTATTTTTTTTTTTATTATTATCACACTGGCCGATTCCGACCAAGGCAGGGTGGCCCGAAAAAGAAAAAATTTTCACCATCATTCACTCCATCACTGTCTTGCCAGAAGGGTGCTTTACACTACAGTTTTTAAACTGCAACATTAACACCCCTCCTTCAGAGTGCAAGCACTGTACTTCCCATCTCCAGGATTCAAGTCCGGCCTGCCAGTTTCCCTGAACCCCTTCATAAATGTTACTTTGCTCACACTCCAACAGCACGTCAAGTATTAAAAACCATTCGTCTCCATTCACTCCTATCAAACACGCTCACGCACGCCTGCTGGAAGTCCAAGCCCCTCGCACACAAAACCTCCTTTACCCCCTCCCCCTCCAACCTTTCCTAGGCCGACCCCTACCCCGCCTTCCTTCCACTACAGACTGATACACTCTTGAAGTCATTCTGTTTCGCTCCATTCTCTCTACATGTCCGAACCACCTCAATAACCCTTCTTCAGCCCTCTGGACAACAGTTTTGGTAATCCCGCACCTCCTCCTAACTTCCAAACTACGAATTCTCTGCATTATATTCACACCACACATTGCCCTCAGACATGACATCTCCACTGCCTCCAGCCTTCCTCCTCGCTGCAACATTCATCACCCATGCTTCACACCCATATAAGAGTGTTGGTAAAACTATACTCTCATACATTCCCCTCTTTGCCTCTAAGGGCAAAGTTCTTTGTCTCCACAGACTCCTAAGTGCACCACTCACCCTTTTCCCCTCATCAATTCTATGATTCACCTCATCCTTCATAGACCCATCCGCTGACACGTCCACTCCCAAATATCTGAATACATTCACCTCCTCCATACTCTCTCCCTCCAATCTGATATCCAATCTTTCATCACCTAATCTTTTTGTTATCCTCATAACCTTACTCTTTCCTGTATTCACTTTTAATTTTGTTCTTTTGCACACCCTACCAAATTCATCCACCAATCTCTGCAACTTCTCTTCAGAATCTCCCAAGAGCACAGTGTCATCAGCAAAGAGCAACTGTGACAACTCCCACTTTATGTATGATTCCTTATCTTTTAACTCCATGCCTCTTGTCAAGACCCTCGCATTTACTTCTCTTACAACCCCATCTATAAAATATATTAAACAACCACGGTGACATCACACATCCTTGTCTAAGGCCTACTTTACTGGGAAATAATTTCCCTCTTTCCTATGTACTCTAACTTGAGCCTCACTATCCTCGTAAAAACTCTTCACTGCTTTCAGTAACCTACCTCCTACACCATACACCTGCAACATCTGCCACATTGCCCCCTATCCACCCTGTCATATGCCTTTTCCAAATCCATAAATGCCACAAAGACCTCTTTAGCCTTATCTAAATACTGTTCACTTATATGTTTCACTGTAAACACACTGGTCCACACACACCCCTACCTTTCCTAAAGCCTCCTTGTTCATCTGCTATCCTATTCTCAGTCTTACTTTTAATTCTTTCAATAATAACTCTACCATACACTTTACCAGGTATACTCAACAGACTTATCCCCCTATAATTTTTGCACTCTCTTTTGTCCCCTTTGCCTTTATACAAAGGAACTATGCATGCTCTCTGCCAATCCCTAGGTACCTTACCCTCTTCCATACATTTATTAAATAATTGCACCAACCACTCCAAAACTATATCCCCACCTGCTTTTAACATTTCTATCTTTATCCCATCAATCCCGGCTGCCTTACCCCCTTTCATTTTACCTACTGCCTCACGAACTTCCCCCACACTCACAACTGGCTCTTCCTCACTCCTACAAGATGTTATTCCTCCTTGCCCTATACACGAAATCACAGCTTCCCTATCTTCATCAACATTTAACAATTCCTCAAAATATTCCCTCCATCTTCCCAATACCTCTAACTCTCCATTTAATAACTCTCCTCTCCTATTTTTAACTGACATATCCATTTGTTCTTTAGGCTTCCTTAACTTGTTAATCTCACTCCAAAACTTTTTCTTATTTTCAACAAAATTTGTTGATAACATCTCACCCACTCTCTCATTTGCTCTCTTTTTACATTGCTTCACCACTCTCTTAACCTCTCTCTTTTTCTCCATATACTCTTCCCTGCTTGCATCACTTCTACTTTGTAAAAACTTCTCATATGCTAACTTTTTCTCCCTTACTACTCTCTTTACATCATCATTCCACCAATCGCTCCTCTTCCCTCCCGCACCCACTTTCCTGTAACCACAAACTTCTGCTGAACACTCTAACTATCTAGGCCCAAATTTACCAATCACAGCTTATCTGAGTGAGCTGAGCTTGTGACTTAGAACTGCGGCTTGGATCCTGTGGACAAGGTGTAGATCTACTGCTTGGACCCTCAAAGGGTTAAATGAACCCTTGAACTATAATACACTAACTCTTCTTTCTGAGTGCAGGCACTGCAGAATTATATTTATTTCATTAATGGTCCAGGAAACATTTTCTGAACAATTAGTTGGTTCAGTTATGGTATTTTTGTTATGCTGTAAATAGGCATACAAATCCAAAGCAAGTTTTGAATTTCCTATCAAATCTGCCTCTTCTGTTTCGATAAGGCACTTGTGTGATATTTCACTGTGATATTCCATGTTTAACCCTTAAACTGTCCAAATGTAGATCTATGTTTTTTCAACATTTGCAAGTATGTAAAAAAACGTAGACCTTTTTTTTTTTTACATTTGAAAATGTGTAAAAAAAACTTTGATCTACATTTTTTTTGTTATACATATTTGAAAATATGTAAAAAAACGTAGATCTACTTTTGGAGCACTACGCATGTGAACATAGATCTGTTTGGACAGTTTAAGGG